GTATCGCGGAAAGAAATCCTTTTTTTAAATTCGGTGCCGTTGGAAATCTGTAAAAATTACATGCTTCGTTAACTAACAATTAAATATATTTTTTTTTGCAGAATATATTCAATTTTAGTTTCGCTTTCACTTACCTGTGAAAAGTAACACCCTCACTTACCTTCCACTCTTACACTTTTTAATACAGCTCGCTTTAATCATTTTATATGCTTTTTTTCAATATTGCACTTTTGTAAACGATATTGATGACTTTGTCGATGATAAATTGAAAATCGCGGTTATGACTACTCAATACGTGGCGCAATGCGCAATGGTCTACACGCAAAATTACTACAGTACACTACTTTATAAGAGAGGCAAATTTACTACAGTAAACTACTTAATCTTAAGAGGGATAATAAGAAGAAGAAGGATGCATTCACCGCACAGCAGAGTTCTGCATAGGACGGAAAAAGGGGCCGATCTCCTCGCAGCCCGGGCTAGCCGCAGTTTGCGATAAGGCGAACATGATACCTTTCTGCCTGGAGCCCGTCACACTGCGGAGCGCCTGTAACACCGCGGCGCGGCCTGTAACATCATGAGAAACTGCGGCTGCTGCGAGGCAGTGGGAGCCGAATGCGAGCATCGCCGCTATACTGCGTTCGCGATTACGTACATCTTCGCTGCTGAGTATCGAACGCTAAGCGGCCGCTCCTCATTCCATTTCTTCCATTCATTCTATTTTTTACTTATATATATTAATTATGTAACTATTGCACGATTTCAACTATTAAATGCATGGGAAAGTATGACATATTTATTTTAGTATGACATATGCAGGAAATTAGATGAAAGGAAATGTAATAAGGAAAATGAAGTATTATAAATGTAATTTCATACTTCATATACGAGTCTATTTATGTTATATATGTTTTGAACACTATACATACGTATATACACTATTTACAATACTTACAGTATATACAATATTTACAATATTTATGTACATTTTATTTAATACCATTATACATATTACAATACATAAAATTATAGATTTCGTTTAATGCAAAAGTATTTTAGATTAATTGCTGGAATTAACATAACGCTTCTAAAGCCCTTCACGTTTTGAATTTTTTATGTACATAAATATGTCATACTTTCCCATGCATTTAATAGTTGAAATCGTGCAATAGTTACATAATTAATATATATAAGTAAAAAATAGAATGAATGGAAGAAATGGAATGAGGAGCGCGGCGACGAGACCACGCGGCCGCTTAGCGTTCGATACTCAGCA